GCTATATATCCCCCAAGCCAGTTTTCCTCCCCACAACTACTAGCAGCACACAATCCCCTGCTACGTAGTTACTCAACTATTTTTTTGCTAGGCATCGGTCGTTGTATACGCATAACTTTATCTACAGGTCCCTTTTCTTGTTATCTACTGCTGTTATTATGGAACGGCGATCTAAGAAGTGGACTACGATCGGGTATCTCACATCGTCGCATCAGCCGCACAGTTTCACACTTCAATCCTACCCTATTTTGCTGTTGTCTCGCTAATGCTTAAGATCAATTCGCGTTGTAAATGTAATAGCTTATTACGGTGATTGGCTAATTAAGTAATGCCACTTGTTCACAATATTATATTGAGCATGTGCCTTCTCAGTTTTCGACGTTATTACGTGTATGATCATGATAGAGTCAATACTATAATGCTTTCTCGTCAATTACTACGTGTTGTTAATTATGGTCATTAACTCAGATTAAGCACGCATACCGATATTGTTAAGAACAAAAAGTTCACGATGTAAATATATGTACATATATATACAAAAAAGGCACATGCAATATTTGGACGCCAACGAATAAACCTGACACACACAACCTCGGTGTTATGATAATTCAAAATGGTATTTATACCAGAGTATAACGGAGGTGTAAAAAATTTTTTTCATTGTAGTCCCCATGACCTCAATAAACTTAAAGACAGCTCCCGCGATAAAAGTGTCAAGGATAATTGCTGATCAATTATGAAACAGTAGCTGATAAGTAATTCCTCAATGAAGGAAAAAAGAAACAAGAGCCCTCAAGAACACCATAAACAAAATCGCGCCCTGACACACCTCCCTGCGGTCTCTGTGCAAGCCCTGGCTCACAAATCACTTTGTCACATCTCCCAGTAGTGGATATCATCGAATGCGAAGAAAAGAAAACAAAAAACAGAAACATAGAGGAAAAACTCTTGAAAAGAAAAGGAAACATTTAAAAAGCCGGCGTCCGAACTTAGGGTTACGGTAGCGAGCATGTTTTAGTGTAGTGAAGTGCGTCGAGCTTTTGCACCACAGAAATTGCATCATTCGTGATTTTTACGCGTTTTACCTTACGAGATGGGTTGCTGTTGACTGTACGTGCTCCCAATGAATAAAATGTGATGAAGGAGAGCATTATTTACGAGCGCGAGCGCGGTCATCAAAAAATACATGCAGTTCCGATTAATAACTGCTGTCTCAACAAGGAACAACTGAGCAGCTCTCCGTCAGAGGGCAGTTAGCTACTGAGGAGCGGTCCAGACTGAGCGAAGCTCTAGAACTACGAACGTTTCGATCGGCTCTTAGCCTGCGCCTCACCCCGCTCGCACTGAGAGCTCGCGAGAGTGACCGCAGTATCCTAGCTTGGCGGGCTGCAACTACGCCCAAGGAAGGAGACCATGCAAGACGCTATATCGAGCGCCGGGGGCTGCCCTGCTCGCCGAAACTACTTCTCCACTACCACTCTCATTTCGCTCACTATGGACGGAGACAGTGCATCGATGCAGCTGGCGCAATTCTGAAACGACGCTTCCAACACTTCGCAGATCTCGATAGCCTGAATGCGCGGGATCCGCATCGCTCGGAGCGACGTATGGACCGCGGCGAACCGGATAGGCGAAGTAGGAAATGCGCAGCAAAACGCGGTGGCAGCGGGTTATGGCCGCTCTTTCTCCCACTCTCCAGCCGCTCAACCAATGCATCAGAACATTCTGCGGATTGCGCCGAATTCGCACAGGCTTCACCAGCCGTGAACATCATCTGACGACGTAAAATTGATATTAGGACTACGGTACCTCAGTGATTCTGTACTACATGCACCGAACACCGCTTGATGGCAATTGGCCATAAAATCGTCTCAGGGCACTTGTCAACCGGGAAGCCTCTCTCTCTTTCCTTTTTTCTTCCTCCTTCCTTCTTTTCCTTCCTTCCTTCTCTGATCCCTCCTCCTTTACCTTCTCCCTTCAACTACTGGACTGGTAGATGCCTCGTGAAAATACCCCTGGACCCTCGCAGCGAGAGGGCCCCTCACGTGTAGTTCTTGTGGGAATCGGTCAGCTCGTTCAGTTCCGAGTTCGTAATCCTTTTCAGAAGATTTCTTAGTTATGCCACAGTCCTTCTTCTTGTTAGTAGCTCACTTTGGTGTCTGTCTTTTCAGGTCGTTTTTTTCCTAGTTAAATACTCGACCCCTCTTCCTGTTACGTTAGTTTTAAAATTTAGGCTATCGTGACAACTATGGACACACGGCAGGGCCCTTTCAAGGTATTCGTTGACTTCTTATCTTTTGTTCATTGTTAATATAGTTTTAGAGTAGCTCTACGTATTGTAGAGGGATAAAGGGCACGAATCCTAAAAACGAAGTCCATCAGTCTCCACCAATTATTGTCCTTACCCGCTTCAGCAACTAGGAGAATGGGTTTGGCGTCGCGCCAAATCATCCTGCCTCACACGCCACTTCACCCGCAGCGAAACTGAAGCTTATACGATAGGTGCTTTCGCACTAAGCGGTTGCTTTATCTCCATTCACGAGGTGAAACTCCCCGAGATTTTGACAAATCTACCTGGACTCTAAAAATCGGGGAGTCTCGTTATCAATTTTCCAACATATTTCAAAATTTTGCTTAAATTTCAAAGAATGGAGAAGTAAATGATGAGCAGTGCTTTTACGTGCTTTGTGCCATCTTATTACAATTTAAACAGTGCCCACGACTTACTTATACGACTTGTCCACAGTGAGGCCGCGTTCATACTTTGCGAATGTGGAAAATCTGCGATCTGTTCATGCTTTTCGCCGGCGTTTTGAGCATTTCGAGTGAAAGGAGAGCACACTTATCGATCTAGCGTTTTGGGAGAAAGGCCAGCATTTTGAGACAGGAAGGAAGTATAGGTATCGACCCAGCGTTTCAAGCGTTGGAGCGCTTCGCTTAAAAATCTGGAAACGGTAGATTGATACCCGTATTTTGTTTTCGCTCAAAACGCCGGCGAAAAGCATGAACGCATCCCTCCAAGTCCGTGTATGCAGCCAAGGTAATAATCCGTTCGATAACCCCATAGGGATGTTAGTTTTTCAGCATACCACTCTCTTTCCTAACACCGAGTCACCAAAATGAGTTAACCGTTAATTATCATGAAGCTTGAGAGCTTTCTTGCCTTGCTACACCAGAAGAATAGGAGAATGTGATGCGGGAATCGAGGAGTAGGTCGCTCCAAATTGCGATTAGGCGATTATACGACGTTTTAGAAAATTGAACGTGCCCATTCTCTCTATGTCGCAACCTTGATCGAAAGGAGATCTCAAGGACATGTTGCAGTGATCACTCAGGGGCTATACAACAGTATAGAGAGAAAGGAACAGTCGGACTGAAAGGATTGATTGAATAGAGATATGTGATTGAACTGAATGAATAAAGATGATTAGTTTGAAAGCAGTGATCGTGGGTAACTGATTGCAAATGGCCCACGACATGAGTACTGGTGAGTTAAAAAATTACATTGAGTTTCATAACATCTGGAAATTTTAAACCAAAATGTTCTTAGAAAGTTCCAATTCCCAGTCTATTTACACTTTGTCCAAGCGCAGGCATTTATATGGAAATCTTCCTTTGGATGAGTCTCAAGGAAGAACACATTGAACTAATTCTGGAAATACATATGATTTTCGGAAAAAAAACAGTTAGTCGCAAGTTTTTTACCAGACCATTATTGTTGAATCTCTCTTTTCTCCCTGGTGTCATGAACACACGAAAGCTCTGGGTGATTCGCTTGCGGTTAGGAACAAAGGTGTCGTTTATGAAGTGGAATTACATAAGGACAGAAATGGGGAGAAGGTCGAGTGCTGAGATAAATGTGGCGAATTTATGGTTATATCTCAGTATGAGCGGGAATGGTTGTTGTTCCCTTAAAGTAGGAAGTTTCAAGTATCTTGTGGCTCTGCTTTTAGCGACTCGACAGAGTACCCGTTATGAGTTAAGGGCAAGTAGTAATATGAATCAAAGGTGTGTAGATAATACGCTCGACGGAACGGCATCGCACACTGTGGAGTGCGCTTCATGCGAAGAGGTATATAAGCACCAATAAAATCGCAGAAGCGGCGAAGTTCATGTGAAGTGAAGGACTGATGATATGAAGCGGATGAGGTGCGCGTGGAAGTATGTGGCATGCATCAGCTGGTATCTTTCTGTAAAGGTTATTTACAGGGACGCTAAGAGAAACTCGTACCGAAAGCTGTCGTTTCAACAATCGCTTTTGGCGCTATTTTCTCACTCAACATACACAACCGCTCCTTAGATTTTAGACCGAATACTTGAATTATTGTGCCTTACGTGCCTCATGTCTTTAAACGCGAGGGGAGGCGTGGTAAGTTCCAGTCAGGTCGTTCACTCTTTGTAAGTGCTCGCCGCGCTCGGCGACCATTGAATTATTGTCGGGGCCTACTATTGGACTATAGCTAATATGGGGAGGAACTTATTGCGATTACAACGGTTTCGAGTTTTAATTGGTCGGATTCACCTGTTTTCCAGTTGTAAGTTATGAACCGGTCAGCTGGTGTCGCGCTCTATCTTAAAGCTTTCCTTTCATCGAAGTTTCCTCCAGGGCACATCGTTGTTGAGGAATCCCCAACTCCCCAACAGGGGGGGGTCGTTTTCAGCTGCCAGGAGAGGGGGTCGTATTCACTTTCTGGCCTTTATAGGAGTGGTGGTTGAGTTTTCGTGATATCAGAGTCTCCCTTGCATCATTTACCTCCAGAATGCAATGCCTTAGTCATTTCCACAGGTTTCTCTCTCCGATTGGAGCTTTTTTGTTTTAGATACATCAAACCCAGATTCGCATGGTTCGAGATCGAGAGACAGATAAATTCAAAGGATTTGCCTATGTGGAGTTCAACAGTGCCGAAGATCTGGAGAAAGTTTTGGAATGGAATGGCGTGGTAAATGACATTTGGAATGAATCCATCTCTACTCACTTCCTCACCTTTATAGTGAAAGTGAACGATTCAAGGAATACGGTGGTCGTCCGCTCAAGATCGATATTGCGTCGCAGCGAACAGGAGGTGATCGAGGCGGTCGTGGAAGAGGAGGTGGTCGTGGAGGATGGACTCAGACTGATCATCGCGTTGAACACGGTCATGGCAGCAGTGCACATGGTGGACGTGGGGGTCGATCTCGTCAGGGACATTCAGAACGCTCTCATGATGGTGAGAGTGAATTTGGTGAGGAATTAGTGCATGTCATCATCACAGTCATCCAACCAGGAAAGGCTAGCACGTCATTCTGGCCATTTGCACTGAGGTGTATACCCTTATTGGTGGATGCGGATCAATTAGATGAGCTCAAATCTGCTTTCGGAATTTGAGGAACGATTTCCTAAAAAAAGTCATGACGATTTTCCTTCTAATAGCATCCTTCACTTCTCTTATGTCTTACACAACAAAAGTTAAAGAAGTGATATTTACAAGTGGCGGCGCAGTTCCGCGACGGGGGAGGGGTTTTCTGTGATTCGTCTGCTTCCCATTGTCGTGACGAGTCATCTAGAACAGAACTGTGAAATTTTGTGAAGCCATAAAGTGGTACCGGTCAGAGTTGTAAAGCATGCCTTCAACTCTTGCGAAGCTGTGATTACGACAATGGGAAGCAGCGAAAGTGCGAAGTGCCCTCCCTCTTCGCCGAAGAAGA